TGAATTGTTTTAGTTTTAGTCGACTAAATATCCTGTAGATTTTAGATGACATGACTAAAATGTAATGGGTTTAGTTAAAGCCTCTGTTCTCTTTTTTACCTTCCCCAGGCCCTGTGTCTCTTTGTGTCCCCCAGTCCCTCTGGGTTTCTCTCTCCCAAGTCATGGTCTGTCAGCAAATTTCAATTTAGTTTTAGTCATAGTCTTTTGACTAAAATACCATTTTAGTTTTAGTCATATTTTAGTCATCTGAATTGTTTTAATTTTAGTCGACAAAATTAACACTGCTGCCTCCATAACAGCTTCAATAAGCGAAATCCTTGCAGTTATCGTATTAACCCCTCCCATTGAGCTGATTATTATTGATGGGATGCACCCATTTTGTACTAATATATAATTTCTAACCTTCCGCCATCTGATAATAATGAATTGGTCTCTCTCCCTCAATAAGCGAATGTTGGATTGTACATTACACTGTGCTAAAAATGTCACCTTTTTTGTATGTTGCTTTACCTTGAAATATATATACACATTTATTTATTGGTTGCAGGTATCTTTTATTCCTACCAAGCGTTATTTTTGCCCATTGTATTTCATATTCATCTCTAGATTTTACTCTTGCAGTTACTTTGAGTTATTTTCACTTTCTGAGACGAGCCATTACCACAGCAATGTGAATTAATGGTTGCAGCTGATACTCCATTTACATTTAAACTGTAACATGTGCTATTGTTGGAACATAAAACACATGAAAACTTTTTCATTTTTAAAAACCAGAACACATTTATTACAAGACACATACAATTTACACTTCTTAGCAAAAGGACAATTTCCATGCACTACTAGTGCTTTATTTGGAAACCTTATTTGTCTTTATAACTCTGGATATCTACACCTTTTTCTTTTTTTACTGTCTATCATATTGTTGCTGTATCTTACATTATATATAATTTTTTTAAAGGGAGTGGTGTGTGCGTATGTATTTAGCTGCATTTCTGGCTGCATACAATAGAATCACTGTATTACCACTGGCAGCTCTACAGAGTTACAGAGTATATTCTCATGAACCACTCATGACATAACACAAATCATAGTTTAGAGTCAAGATGAAACAGATCATAATTGGAAGGAAATAGTATAAAGAATATAAACCAATAAAAAATTTTTTTAATACCTGCACTTCTGTGTATAATGTATAATTGCACAAATATGTCTTTCGGATCATAAAGAAAAAACATTTATATTGTGTGCTAGCTCTATTCGTTGAGGATACTAGCCATTAGAGTATGATCAATCCATCTTTATATACAATTAACCCTTCTATATTTTCGAATACCTGTATATTGCAAAGCACTCACGTGAATGATGGAAAGTTGAGGACATTACAGAGATAAGGTTATAGGTCTATTACTATTTTATTGTGAGCCTGATTATTGTAGAGTGTATAAATTTAATTTTTCCGCCTTTTCTGGGAAAACTGGATAAACCTGGTTGGCAAAAATCAGCAGGTGACTGAAGATTTTGTTCATTAACCCTGTTATAGCTACCCAGTATGGTACTCTAATATGGTTTGCATGCCTCAATCTCAAAAACTCATCGAGTTGAACAGAGACTTGATTTTTCTACACAGTCTCTATGTTACAGATGTGTTCTATGGAACAGAGTCTCTAACTGCCCAATAGTATCTAGTTAGTAAGTGAACACACTGACAAACCTGAACTCTCTAAGGTTCATTCAATCTAATTAGTCACTATCAGAGTCATCACTGTCACTCTCGTTTTCATCATTATCCTCCTCTTTCTTCCCGGTCTCTTCTTGCAGGTCAGCAAAAAAGTCTTCTGCTCCTCCAAAGGCTTTCCGGCTGAGTGCAGTCAGCTGCTTGTTTTTCTTGCGCTTCCTGTAATCGTCCACTATTATGGAGTTGAGTGAGGATAAATCCCAAAACTTCACTTTCAGGTCATGGGCACAGCTGGCCAAAAATTTGCCATCAGCGGACTTTGCAAGCTGCTCTATAGGTTCACCCGGATGCTGCCCTACACTGCCAATTACTCTGTTGGGCAAAATATTAATGGCTCTGTTAAAAGAAAAAAAAATGTAATAACATTAAGAAAGGCTAACAAAATGAACACAAAACACAAAAAAGCAGAACTTGGGAATTTGCCCTTGGAAAGTTCAATTATGTAGAACAAAGAACGTTTTGTAGCTATAGTCTACTATTCAGGTTTTAAAGGTGGGCCATCAATTCTCTGGAGATTATACCTATGAATAATACATTAAAAATCACATATAACGTGTAGCAAAGTTATGTTTCATTTTTCACTTAATACTCTGTGCTCTTTTTTTTGCCAATCAATTTTTATTGAGGCACATGTTACGTACATTGAGTAATAAATTGTGACAACAACACAATGAGTAGATATAGGACATTAGTTAAACAGTGGTTGGATTCTAGAAAGCACCGTGCAGTTAGTCACATACAAAGTGTACTAGCCCATTTTTAAATAAAAGTCAAAGTGAGTAAAAGAAAAGAAGATGCTCCAGAGTGTGAGCATCTATACACATGCTTAGTGTCTCCGCGCTTAATGCGCTTCCATTGGTAAGGCTTGTGCCATGATATATAATCAAGTAACATGAAAATAAGAATAAAGGCTCTTCCTCTCTGGACAAACAAAGTAACTCTCCCTGGGTCCCACCGCTCTGTGGCCGTTGAGAACCATGGTGTCTCGGTGCTAAAACCCAGCATCTGGATGAAGATAGTGGCCTCAGATGGGGAGGACATCCTATACAATGTACCATCCTTGAGAACAGTGATATCCCTGCTTTTCTGAGTTGGTAAGTGGCAAGCCCCTCCCAGAGATCTCTGTCTCTGGGAGATAATTGAGTTAAAGACCGGTAAGTTAATTATCTCCCATTTACAGAGCCCCAAACAAAGAAACATAAAAGTACTCCAAAACAAAATAAAAACATACAGTAACCTCACATGTCTTATATCCCCAAACAGCTCTGATTTGAGCGACCAAGTTGTCAAAATAGCAATCAGATCCATGCAGTATTGGGGAATCGCCACCAGGGTAAAGTTCTGACCGACAGCACACGTTGTCCTATGCCCAAAAGACTTTCCAGAGCAATGTGTGCTTTGGCCGGTTAACTTTCGGGAGCTCCTGCTCAGGGAGACTGTGAGATAAGGAGAATCTGACCAATCACTTGCTTGTTTTTTTTTTGTTTTTTTTTTCTGCTGCTAATTATTTATCACCTTATAGATGATCATCATTAATATTCTCACCTAATAACGCCATCCATGGATCCTGCGCACAGAATATTGTCTGTAATGGGAACCATGCAATCGATAGACTCTGCCTTTACAGCAAAGCGATCGCTTGTTGCCCCGAAGCCATTCCAGTTAAACAAGTATATTGTTCCTTCGCTGGATCCACATGCCACTTTTCGCCCTCTCTGACAAAAAAATAAAAATATATATATATTTTTAAAATACTAAGTGTTATGGTCAATAAAACAAACAATTAATCAGTGTTATACTAACTGCAGTTTTTATTTCAGTATTTGTTATTTCTTATCACTTTCAATAAATTAAAAAGAAAAAAAAAATTACTTTTTGTTCTCCTGTTATGACTTATTTAGATACTTCATATACAGTACAGTTACGATCGTGATACTCAGACACAGTTAAAACACAGGGAATATTCACTAAATCAGCAAAAGATGATGAAGAGATGTGAACTGCAAAAATAACCAATTTTAGTGCAATTAGAATAACAAGAAATTTAGTTCACAAACATCTACTGTGTCAAGGCTACACATTACTGGCCAAGTTCTGTGATGGCCAATTGTAGCATTGTAAAGGCTGATTAAGTACCCTGGGAAAAGTAATCCCTGAACAGCCACTGGGCAGTTTTACTTCTGCCCATGCAGCAACACCTCACCTGGTTGCGACAAACACGCAGCAAACTAAAAAATGGTTTCCTTTTTAATCGGATGTTAATATATATCAGTGATGGCGAACCTTTTTGAGCCCGAGTGCCCAAACCGCAATACATGCCAACATTTTTTCTCCTTAAAGTGCCAACACGGCAATTAAACCCAAATACTGAGGTTTAAGTTTAGAAAAAAACAACTCGTACTGTTGTCCGAACTAATAACTTTTGTTTTAAAAGAACACAGAGAGTTCAATGATACAAATTTTAAATAATGATATAAATAGATAAAATTAAGCTTATATTTATTAGTATCTCCAACAAATGCAATACATACACACAGTCTGCTGAATACACACACACAAGACTGCTGAATACACACACACACAAGACTGCTGAATACAGAGACTGCTGAGTACACACACACACACAGACTTCTGAGTACACACACACACACAGACTGCTGAGTACACACACACACACACACACAGACTGCTGAGTACACACACACACACAGACTGTTGAGTACACACACACAGACTGCTGAGTACACACACACACTGCTGAGTACACACACACGGACTGCTGAGTACACGCAAACACAGACAGCTGAATACACGCAAACACAGACAGCTGAATACACGCACACACACACAGACTGCTGAATACACGCACACACACACAGACTGCTGAATACACGCACACACACACAGACTGCTGAATACACACATACTGCATTGAGGTGGGGGGTGCGTGTGAGTGTTGTATGTGAGGGGTGCTGTGTGTGTGTGGGGGGGTGTTCTGTGTGTGTGTGTGCTATATGTGTAAGGG